CAGTGAAAACAGCGGCGTGGAGCAGCGGCCGTGCCATGGCGCTGCCCCGGCCTCGCACGCGAGGCGCTCGGAGCCGTCGCGTTCTGCCTGCGTTTGGGCCTTGTTGGCAGGCTGGTGAGCAGCTTTTCTGCCCCGCGCCCACCCAGTGCCTATTATTTTTCTTTAATCTCTTGGGGCAAGAGGAGTTTGCATCACAGCCTATAGTTGTCCTGCAGAGTTGGGAAAGTTGGAGACCCCAAAGAGAACTTGGAGAAGGAGCAGCTGGAGCTGCTGTTGGGCCTCCACCCTGGAACCCCAGGGGTCTTTTTCTGTAGTGCATATGAGCGGTTTCTCCCATTGCAGGGTGGAGGAATATGAAAAGGGCGCTCCCTGCCAGCACCTAAGTCAGGGCTGGCTTTCTGGGAGGGATTCAAGGCTCTTCCAATCCATATGTGTTTCTTTATTATTACTGTTTATTTTGCCCTCTCTGGAGCTGGGCTGCTGAAAATGGTGCTTGCAGGATGTGAAGAAGTCACGTTGTCAAGAACGGCAGCACAAACTGTTCTCTCCTTGCTGCTGGTGATTCATGGAGAAAGGCAGGAAGGTTGCAGGCTCCTCCACAAGTGTAGTCAGAAGCAAAGCTCGGGAGATGCTGGCAGTGGTAGTCCTGGCGGATAAGAAAGTGTAGCTGTTGCCATCAGAAGTGAAGTTCTTGCACTGGAGTTATCTCCATTCGTTAGTGGGTTTTCCTGCCTCACCTGAGGGCTTTCTTTGAAGGTTAAACCTCTGAGAGGGAAGGAAGTTTTGTTGCTGGGGTGTAAACATGAAGCATCAGAGCTGTAGGAGAAGGCTGTGATGCAGCTGCTTGGACTGGAAAAAAAGGAATAAGGGATATCTGGGCTGCCTTGACTCAGTTTTCTCTTGCGCAGTTTTCTTTGCTCTCCTTTCCCTGTACCTGCCTTGCTGAAGTTCTTGCTTCCCTGTCGGTGGCCGGTGCCTCCGGAGCCGGGCAGAGGAATGCTGCCTCTTCATCTGGCGGGGCCAGTTGAGCTGCGTTGCTGCTGGAGCGATTAGATCACACTGTACACAGCAGGTCAGCCAAGGCTTGAGGCTGGCATTTTTGCAGCCTTTAAAAGTATCCCTATTCTTCAAGCCTGTGTTCGTGGGGGCTGGCGCGCTGCTGCGTGCACCAGGCTTTGCTTCAGCAACAAGGCGTCCCCTTATCTTAGGGCAGCCTTGCCAGGACTGGTGGCCTTTTTATAGCGAGATAGCTGGTGACTGCTGCTCTTCAATCCTGTGACAAACTGCTGTGTGCTCGTGTGGCCAACCAAAATATAAGCTCGGGACAGAGCGGAAAATGGGCCATAAAAGGAACTTTGGGGGAGAAATGGAGGTTTCCTTTGTGGGTGGCAAAGGAATTTGCAGAACACGAACTGTTTGGGGGTGTGTAGGTGACCCCTTGGCCTGCCAAGTGCAGGTCTCCTCTTGTTTGACACAGCAGTTCGAATGGTTGGGATCCTGTGGAGCTGAGCGGGCTTGGAGCCCATGGGCTCTGCAACCAGAGCTGGTACGAGCCAGTGCTGCCGCTGAAAGAAGCAGCTCTGGCTGCTTGTTCCTGTTCCTGCAGTTGTCCTGCCAGCGTGGAGGGTTTGCCCTGTGATCTAGGGCAAGGATCTGACCCAGGTTCAGGCTAGTCTCCTCTTGGCCGGGTTAGTCTTTAATCCGGTAGCTTTCATGATCGCCTCTGTGGCTGTGCCAACGAAGAGGGCTAAAGTGCTGGCTTAGGCCAACTTTGTGCCTGGCAGACTACAGTCGTAATTTAACTGGGTGCTTCTAAGGTGTTAGCAGCAATGTGAGCTCAACTACAGAAGTGCTAGTTGAGTTTGTTTGCTGCTTGACTGCAAGCCCTGGCGACCAGTATCACTTCCAGAGTTTGTGCCAGTTCATCTGGAGCTTGTTGTGAAGTTGGCATGGCAGCCTTGCCAATTAGTCTGGCTGTAGAAAGGCAAAGGACTCTTTAAAATGACTTCCTAATAGTTGGCGGATCTGAGCTGGAGAGGTAAAATGGGATAGCTGCAAAGGAGGAATTTGGAGAGCATCAGCAGCTTCCTAGCCAAGGCTGTGACTTTGCATCCTGCTGTGAAGAATGTGTGGGGTAATAGCGTGTTTTAGAAAAGGCCTGTGGAAAAGTGGAGCTTGAGCGTTCAGTTGTGCTGGCTTTGAGGGGTTGCCAGGTGTGGTGACCCTTCAGATATCCAGGGATATCTGTGCTGGTGTTTCCTTGCCCAGCC